CAAGCTTGGCACGGTAGTGCCTAGCCTGCTTGGTCCACGTACAGCAGGCCTTTGTATGTAGAAATGTTACACATATAGTTACTGACATTCATAACACAACTCTTTGTCAAATCTTTTGTATATCTATTTCTTGTATATAGATAGAAAAAAACTACCAAAAACTTTTTCACTGTATATATAGTCTATATATCTTTATCCAATAATTAGGACTGACAATATGATATAATAGTTCCTCCATCTTTTTCTGGAAAAATACACAGTCTTTATATACAATTTAATCAAACATAAAATAAGTATTATATAGAATAAATTATAAATATTTTACTTGTTTTTTTATTTATATGTATATATATATAATGCATTTTGTATTATATAAGATACTTAAACATCTGATTTTTTATTTAAAATACTAATATGACATTGTTGTAATTAGCCATTAGGCTTTGTGACTAATTATTAATTTAGATTTTGTGACAGAAAAAATAATATCATTTGCACAGATATTATTAATACAGTGAAGAAAATTTTATAAAAATATTTAAAAAGATATTTAATATACAATTGTATAATACACCATCTCAACGTCATTTAGTATATAAATTGTCAAGTGATACATCACAACAATGGATATATAACCAATTTCTTTATCACAGTCTTCACTTGTTCGTTTAAAGTATTGCAATTAAATAAATACATAAATTAATCAACTGAAATTACAATAGCACATAATTATATTTTTAATAAAAAAAAATACTCACTTTTTCGTAAAATCCTCTTTGCATCGCACAACACAATGTGTGCTACTAAGGATAACAAGAGAAACAGATATGAACTTTAATGCATTGCACAAGTTTCACCGTTTGTAAATTGTAGAAACAGTGGTCTAAAAAGAAACTAACAACAAATGTGCGCCGCTTTTGAAGAATCGGAAAGAACTCAATGTAGCGTCTTTTCATGTCCTATTGTACTAAGGTCCTTAAATGTTTTATATGTATACTCATATAATCGCTTTTCATTCATCAGGGGTAATGAAATCGCCACGTTTTTTATTAAAAGCGAATGCTGAAACGATGATTTTACCTTTAATAATAAATAGCCATATGTCTTGGATATCAATTACATTTGCCGGTGTATAAGATAGTATAACGTCTTGCCGAATAACACAATAAATATGGCTACACAAACTTGGCCAATGCACGACACTCGATCGGCTGGCGCTGTGATTCCGCTCACATGATTTGACCATTCGAAGAAAAGTGTACATTCCGGATACACCCTAGACTCGGTACTCGCACATACACCGTGGCGAGTTAATTTTGCATAGGGTCATTTATCGCGGGGAATTGAACAATATTACCCCGTAGTGCCCATTACAGGCCGCCATTTTGAACGAAATCAACAATAAACTGCGCCATCTACTGTCTAAGGATTAGAGAAAGGGATCAACAGGCGGGATTTTTCAAGAAACTCAGCACCGAACATTTTTCCACTTGATATACTTTACCTCCTTGATAACTTGCTTACTTGTAAGCAATTTCATTTCTCCTGAGAGATAGCTATTTTTTTGCATTAACCAGTAAGAATATACCTTAAACTTGTTGACATTTTTCTTATCTTATTATATATACAGTTTAAATGAAAATTAAAAGTTTAGATAAGATTTAAGAGACTTATGCACACATGTACACAATGAGTACATCATATGTATAACTTGTTGATCAGTACCGTAATTTTATATTTTAATGAACTTGATATTTTAATAACAAGAGCAATTAGTCACTTAATAGGATGTTATTAACTAAATACTAATTCATAATAATAACATTTATTGTAATGATAATGTAAGAATATATTTACAATCGATATTATAATAGTATTCATAGCGTAATTTCCGAGTATGATCTCAAAGGTTTTTTACTGATTAAGTTAGATATCACTCATTTCGGCAACTGCCAAATTATTGCTACTATAGAGAAAGTGAGCAAGGCAGTTTACGAAATCTCGAATTGCAAATTGCTTTACCCAATAATATATATATATAAAAAAAAAAATAGGATTCAACAATTAAGACACTTAGTTGAGTATATCGCAGATATCGTAAAAAGTATACTGATGCCACTGTGCATTAATAGTTTGTAAATTTCCAGGTAAACAATATTTGTTTCGTTTATACTTTTTACAGAACATACTCTTCGTTCATATAATTATAATATACCAAGAAAAAGATTGATGTTCTAAATCCATTAACATGTATAGGAATATTTATAATGTAGAAATAAACATTCACAAAATGACGAAATTTACCTCTTAATACATCTTAATAATACAGTGGCGGTATCACAGCTACTTTGATATCGTACAATAGATATTTCTCTTAACACACATTCATCTACGTAGTTACATTTTATAAATTTTAGACGTTCCATACGCAATCATAGCTTTTTTTTGAAAATTTATAAGTATTAACTTTATTCTACATGTAATATCTTTTTATATGAATTTAAATTTTCGAAATTTTGTAGCTTCATCATATCAACCATTGATTAATATAAGACGTGCAACATGATATACAATAACCTATGAAAAGTAAATAAATAAACTATATGCTATATTATGAAAATATTAATGAAATGAAATATCGCTTGCAGATGGATCAAAGTAAAATATTTGTGAAAATTTTAAAACAATAATAAACACAATTATTTGTAAGAATAAATAAACAGTATGTGGCAGCATAGGATGCATGACACGATTCAGCTTTGGTTTTTGTGAAATACACCCATATTAATCCCTAATTATGGTAACATTATAAAATGCAATATATATAGGATGACCAATATTGCTTTGCTTTATTCACGTTGTTTTTAATTGTACGACAAATTATTCAATGGCTACCTCATTTGCATCTTACGTTGTTGCCAAACTGCGAATTTTCTATACGCTGTATTTAATAGTTGATTTAAATGACTTGTTAAATGTTGACTAACAGCAGAAAAATCTCGTTGAACACGATCCTAAAAAAGAAAACATCCAACATTTCTTGTGAAAAATATAACGTAAACCAATAAATGTGAAAAATTTATAGAACTTACTTCAAAAGGTTTAAGTTTAGCAGAATGAAATCTATGTAATGCTTCGTGCATTCTAATGGCTTTTTCTTCAAGCTGTGGAGTTGTAGGTGGGAAACTTCGCCAAAAATGCCTTAGAAGTTCACATGTACACACATATACATTACGTAGTTCTTTTTCTAAATCCTTTGGTATTAATTCTGTAATTGACATAAACGACATATTACATATTTTAATCAACTCGATTTACAATTAATAATATATACTCACGTCCAAGACTTTCTTCTCTAAAGCCTTTCATTAAAGAACCACCTGGAGTTAATTCTCCTAAAGCAGAGACTGCTGCAGCTGGACTAACTAATGATGTTGCTAATTGCCTTGGTATACTATTTCCTGCCAGCCAACCATTTACTTCCTTTCTTAATTGATTTAATGTCATAAGAAGTTCTTCAGACGTTGGTTCCGTATTACCATATCCTGGTACTGGACCATGTAAATACCTGTCTATATGATTCAAATTTAATGGTGCACTATTATTTGTATTAATATCATGAGTGGTATCAAGATCATCATAAATTAATTTTTCTTGTATTCTAAGCTGAAAATAAAATATATACATATTGTTATTGGATGTATTATTTTATATTAAAATGTATATGCATATTATAACTTTACTTTTTTAGTCTTTGGTCGTTCATCTAACTGATTAGACAGTGTTGTAGTTTTACTTGCTGATGGCGTTGATCCATTTAATTGTGGTTGAATGGATTGTGTAGATTGTTTGGCAGTGCTGGCCTTTAAAACCATGATACTGTGTTGATTAAATCTCTTAATCATACTTTGATGTACAATATTTCCTGAAACTTTGTCAGATTTACTAGGTCCATTCCCATAATTATCATCTAGAGTTTGATCCTCAAAAGAAGTTATATCCACCAATGGATCATCAATACCCGATTGAATATCTTTTTTAAGTTCTTGATCATCTATTTTGGCACATTCGGTAAAAAGATCCTTGGTCCCTGCATTGATACGATCTCGATGAAAATAATGTGACTGAAAGAATTTTGTCCAAAAATCGGATTCTGACATTTTATGAGGCACATTTTCTTGATGTTTTCTTTTTACTGCTGGATAAGTCTTAAATATACACTCTATAATATCAACAGTTAAATTATATTTCAATCCATTACAACCATCAGTTTGTGGTTTTATATCAGCCTATAAATAATGTATTGAATTATTCATTAATTTATTCTTCTAGTATGTGATTTGTATTTTAATAGCAAAAAATTCTTACCAGAAAAGCACTATTTACTCCTATTTCTTGTCTTTGACTTTTTTTAGCTTGGGTATATTCTGCAGCATGTTGTGACCAAAATTCTTCAGATGAAATAACTTGTGTAATAACCAAATCTCTATATAACTGAAGCAGTACAGGATTTTCTTGAAGCATTCTGTTAAATAATACATTTTAATACATGAATGATATAGATATATTTTAGTATAGTATATGATAGTATATGAATAGTATAGATATAAATATCACTGTAATATGAAATACCTTACCTATTTTTTTCTTCCAATTCTTTATTTACTTTTCTTTTAAATTTTGGTAATAATTGCTGAAGTAGTTCTTTTACATCATCACGATCTTTAATTTGTGCCTCTTGCCCATTTCTGTTTACAAAATGAAATATAGACGATGAACCATCATGTAATACAACTTGTAATTGTATTTTTGATTTTCCTTCTGGTGATATCTTTTGTACTACAAAGAAAGGTATAGTGTAATATATTAAATTTCAAAGAGTTACTTAATATCAGTAAATATAAATTTTCCTTTTGATAATTTTCCAATTGTACTGCTCTATTAAACAGAAAAGATTAAACTATAAATATATATTTGATATATGTTAACATAAGAGATAGATATAAATAATTAAATTATTAGTACATCGAAAGTAAAACATGTAGTAAAGTTATAGTAAAGCGAGTTTTCTTTAATAATCTTTTTATTGAACATTATTTTCATCTTTACACGAATGTTCTTACACTTAATATCAGCATATTTGTGACTGACTGATACAGTGTCTCTGTTATCAAGCATCCAGGCTATTCTTTCATTCATGACATATAAAGTGCCATCTCCTTTTTTATAACGAACTTGTCCTACTTGCATTAGAACATCTTCCGATGATGTAGTCATGGTGGATGTAATATATAATATAATTCTTCTAAAAATGATAAATACAATCCTAAAAAATATATTTAAAAATAAGTATGTTATGTTTACAAGAAAGACCTATGAATATATAACTATATGTAATATTATTAGGATAACTATATCCTGATATTTATAAGTCTCCTATATAAATAAATGCATAAAAATAAAGAATCTTGTTTTATATTTGAATTTTATATTCATAAATTTTCATGCCAATTAAATCTTTATCATAGTATCATATCATAATATAAAAAATTAGTTTCTACAAAATGATTAATTTTTAAGAAATACTCAAATATTTAATATTTGAAATCATAGCAATTCTATAAAATACTGAAGGAAACAAATATACATGATGTATAACTATTTGAAAAAAAAAAATTTAATTCAAATATTATTGCACTTAATGAAAATTTATATATTTATGAAAAAATAATTACTTTAAAAAGTTTCGTGAACTTCGTATGATCTTCGTATTAGTAAACAATATAAATGTATTGAACTTCTCAACGTTCTAAATAAATATAATTGTATTCATCTTTACAATTTCCGTATAAAATAATGTAACATATTTGAATTATGCAATTTTAGATAAGATGTATTAATATTTAGGAATTACGATTTATTTGTCGCTGTGCGTCCTTGAATGTTACATTACAACATAATGACTTAAAAAAAATTTTCGTTAATAATATCTTATAACATATAGTTATGCAAAATCGATTGTAATATTATAAACAATGAGATCTTTGAAAATCGAGGAAAAATGCTAACTCTACATCGTGAACTAAACACTGATGCGATATTACCCGTGACTCACTTTTTGATTCATTAATTATGGCTATCAATACGAAAAACGCTTTTTGTATAGTTCAAGGCACAGAACGCGTGTTTTTTAATCGTTAGAATAGGAAATTTAACTATAATAAGTCCATTTACCGGTGTTAAAGTGCGAAAAATCGTGGAACACTGCAGAAGCCCGTTGGGCGGCACGGCCATGTGCAGAAACACACATCAGTGGACGCATCGCGAAGCAAAGACGGCTGCAAACGAATCGTCGGTACGAATAGCACCATCGACCTGCTAAGACTACCGCACTCTGTTGTTCGACTAAACTTCTGTAACGCTTCCTGTTGTTAAAACATTCCTTTCTTATTTCTTTCTTATCTGAATAAACATATCGCCTGTAACTATGCACTATATTCATATATTCTGAATTGAAATAATTAATACAGATCCAAGTGACAAATAATGATATTTTCTTTCACGAAAGTTATGAATTTGACTCAAACAGCGTAAGTTATATCTGTAGAATATAATATAAGCATGCGTAGTTACATGAGGGCGCTGAAATATACCTGATTTTGATAATTATAACACAAATCCTACGTATTTATAAATAAATGATATAGCAATATACAAATTAGAAATTTTTATTAAGTGAAACAAGTAAAGATACCAAATATTGATGACGATTTCATATGAAGAAATAACTTTTTGTGCATCGTAATAAAAATATACGCAAAAAAGATGCCCTCTATTTTAATTTCATAGAATTGAGCAGAATATAAATTACAGTGCACTGATTGGCTGCTTCTTATTCGCGTGATTTGTAAATATAAAGTCATTTGCATCTATAATATATTTATATACGCACAATCTGAATTAATGTGCTATGTAAATATAGTTTATTGATAACGTATAATTTTATGCATTTATTTTGAAACTAATTTCATTGCAATTGCAAAATAATATACTAATAAAAACACAAAGTTGTATATAAAATACTAGACAAATTCGAGTTGAAAACAATAAAAAATAATATCACAATGTTAGGGATATTTGACATGGAATTTTTTTGCCAATAAGTATGTCATATATGTTACTGCTATAATCATTGATTTTCCTAATATAAATTTGAAATTTATAACATTCGTACTAAATACATTCTATATTTTCATAATAATGACACTTAGTCAGGAAGGTATAAATGTATTTTATTAGTATTATATTTTTCTTATAATTAAAAGCATATTCTCTCTCTCTCTCTCTCTCTCTCTCTCCCTCTATAACGTAACGTATCTGCTAATAAATTTACCTTAAAATACTTTATGCTAAAAAAAGTGCTATTTATAAATAGGATTTAAATACGTCATACAAAAACAAGAGCGGCAAAAGATATGTTTTGGATCAGGATGTCCCCGCGATACTTCAAAAAAAAATATGACTCCATTTATGAGATATTATACATTAGAAGATCATCCAAGTGTAACACCTAATTCATATGATGTTTTAAAATCATTTAAAACAATTATAACTAAGGTATAATCAGTCGTTTAGAATATACAATATTAATTAATTACAGATTTGGAATATTTGAAATAAGTATAATATAATTTTATATTACATATTTTGTTTCAGCCTTGTTCTCATAGTATTAGTAAGAGAGGTTACAGTGGCATTGCTAGATTTGGTAAAAAAGTTGAGGTGAAAGATATTTATCCATCGCCATTAGATTACAATACTTCTATATTTCCTAAACTAATACATAAATCAAAGTATCCATTTGATTCTAGCAGCAAAAGACAGACTTTTGTTGACAATACAACTCCAGGGTATAATAGTAGTATAAGTGGAACAATTGTTATAATCACTTATCGTGTATAAATTAACATTTAATGTACAATATGTATATATAGCCCAGGAATGTATGTTAGTATTAAAAGAAAAGGTCCTACATTAAAACACAGTTTTGGTGGTAGAGTAAAAATGAATCTTGGAGTAAATCTTAAATGTTGTAATCGAAACACAGATATTTGCAAGATATGTGGGACAAAACCACTTGGTGATTATTGGCATTTAAAAAATGAAATATTTTTATGTAGGCCATGTATGATTAAAGAATATAAGAAGGAAACAAAGTTTAAACAAAAAGAATTAGAACAATTTCGTGTAAGATTTTATTTTAATTATGTACATGTGAGAATGTATACACATTTAATTATTTATTCATTTCTCTATTTATTTTAGAAAATACGAGATTGTTCAATTATGCATCAACATGAAACTACAACTGCAAAAATATGGTTGATGCATCCTAGACGAGCTGTACAATGGATACACAAAGAAGCTTATCTTTCTACTTACTTCAATGAATAATTTTATTTATACTCTATATAGTTTGTATTAATATAAAATTTTCTATTTTAAAAATTTAACAAAACAGGTGAGGTGTAATTTTAATATCTACTTCTGTTATGTTCTATGAACAAATAATTATTTATTAAAAAATTTTATATTTATTTGACATGTTATGGATTTAATTAATAATTTATTTAAAAAATTTCTTTTTATTTGTGTACACAAAAAAGTATATGAAAAATAGTTAAATTATGTATTTATATAAAAACACATTAAAAACATATTCTGAATAATATTATTGATTTAATTAATAATGGATTCTTTATAATGTATTTCCATAGTGATATTATTATTATGTATGTGTGATAATAATTTTATATAAATATCACTTTTTTTAATAAAAAGGTTAGTATTCTGTATTATCTTTGTATTAATGTATCTAAATAAGATATTTTAAATGTCAAATATTATACTGTAAAGCGATAGAATTTTATTTTTATATCTATTGGGTTGGCAATTAAGTGATTACGGATTTTGTCATTAGGTGGTAATGGTAAAATCCGTAATCACTTAGTTGTCAATCCAATATTTACTATATGCAATAAGAAAAATATGTGTAATGTAGTCAAGATATATATTTATAAGTGTAAATTATGATTATGATTATAGATGCGTGTGTAATAAATTTATTACATATTAGTTATAAGTATACTTGATTATGAGTGGAGAATTTCATCTTCTTGTTGTGTAATTAATGGATTTTTATTATCTTCTATAGGGTTACCACCATCAGGCGCTTGCCTTGAAAGCACAAGAAGAGATGTTTCAGAAGATACAGAGTCGCCATTTTCAACTACTTCTGAATCAATTGATTTTATTATTGAATTGTTAATTGATATAGTTGTAGTTGATTCTGTACTATTACTTGCCAATAAATCATTGTAATTAGTATTATGGAGAACAGTTAAATTAATACTATTATCAATATTTTCTGATACTCCAGATGGTATCGTTTTAAAACGTTCAGCATTTGCTAGAGATAAATTAGTTTCCAACGAACTATGTATTCTATTTAATCTATTACTTATTGATTTATTAAACACTTTACTGTATCGATTATCTAATTGTTTGATAGTTCCTTCTTCTAATGGTGTATGTGAGTAATGTAAATCAGGTACTAAATGCTGATATAAAAGAGGATTACAAATGTTATTTAAATCCATATGACGAATATTTGAAGTTACAAGATACGTTGTTAATTCATCACATTTAGATGTATTGCTATTTTCTTCAGCAATTAATTCTTCACGAATTACTTTCGATACTTTATTAGCAGTTTGTGAGTGCATAGATATCTCAGATGAATTTTTATCATATGTATCAACCTCTGACTTAGTTGTACAATTATTTATAGGATTTTCAGAGTTTTGGATAGCTAACTCATATATGTCATCCATTTGATTACATAATATAGATGTTTTGTGTTCTTGGTTATATTTATTACTGCCTTGTAAATTATTACTACTTGGTAAATGTGTTAATACATTAGTAATATTTTTTTCCATTGGTATAGTCTTAGTCAAACAGGTTTGTGTAGGAAACTGCAGAGATAGTTTATCAAGTAAATAATTTATATGTGCTTTTGCACCTCGTTTTGGGTAATCAGTGAAAGTATTGTCCAATGGTCTACTATTGTGCACTAAATGTTCACTTTGTTGTATTTCAGAATTGTCATTTGATAAATTTCGTTTACTATAAGAATTCAATATTTTAGAAGAATCAGATTTCATTATTTCACAACTAACTGCATTGTTGTAACTAATATAAGTTTGAGACAAAAAATTTTGAATACTCGTTTCATTTGATGTATTTTGGTTCTCGTTTTCTGTAGTACTTGGATTGTGGCATATTCTGCTATTGTAATCTCTTGTAGCAATAGATAGTATTGGAGTGATAATTTTACAATCGTTATTTTCATTATCGCTACTTTGTTCATTTAATTCAAACTCATTTTCTAAATCATCTTCAAAAGCCGTATTTGTGACATCACGTAATCGTGATTCTAGACGTTTTGTTATTTCATCTAATTCTGTTAATTTTTGTCTATAAGAAATATGAACACCACATTTATAATAGTATGATAATTTCATTGTAAATTATTGAAATGTAATAAAATTTACTTACTTTAAGGATAAGGATAAGAATGACATAGATACATCTTCAAAATCAATGTGAGTGATAGGATCATTTAATTGATTTTCACTATGTTCTGATTTCTCTTCTTCCTGTGTAACTGTTGATGAGATATTACTAGTTTTAGTTTGTTCTATATCATGAGAATGTGTTTCATACATATGTGTATGAAATGGAACCAAATTTAATTGTGACATAGAACATATTGGTAGTCGGGTTGCACTTAACAATGTCATAGGTTTTCCAAATAATGATAAATTAGCTAGTGGTGTTATACATATCTAAAATATAAATAGTACAGTAAAGAGTAAAATAAACAATAAGTAAAAACAAATATAATAACATATACATATACATGTATATATAATAAATAATACTTTGATTTGTCCGTTGCATTTTCCAGTAAAGTCCATTATATGAAACCAACCAGATACTGTCGGAAAGCCACTAATTAAAACTGAAAGATCAATAGCAGAGAATCCAATAACAATATCTTTCTCTAAGTTTATTTCCATACTATTATCTGTATCTAATATTCGCCAAATTTTTAGAATCAATCTCTTTTTATCCTAAAAAAAGAATGTTTAAAATTATTTAAAGGGGAAAGGATTTTTTATAAATAAATTAAGAAAATTACATACATGTAAAAGCAGTTCTGTCGGTAATGCTGTATCACATTTCCAATTCCATTTAGGGTTGCAACTATGTGGAAACATATTAGTAATCATATACGAGTTTGAAGCTTTTGTATGATCAGATTTAATGGCCTGAAATGATACGTATGTACTTGGTTCAACAGTTTCATTAATTTTTTCTACTTTTGGCAAATGTAATGCACACTCAATCTCCACAATAGCTCTAAACATTGTTTGATTATATGTGGAATTCGTTGATTCATTCTCTACATGATTTATAGTTGATGATTCAAATGTTGTATTACTGTGATTACTTTTTGGATGTTGATCAGTTTCTTCATTGTACTCAGCACCAACTCCAACACTCCTGTATGTTTCTGTTGGTAAATAAAGATTGTGTTTAACGCTATTATTATCACCATCATCGGAACTGTTATTAAAGTTCAATTCGTTTGAACATATCTGTCTTGTGTTCGATTGTTGTTTTTCTTCAAAATTTATCTCAGTCTGTATTGCTTGATCTATTTTAATCTTATTAACATTTAAAACTTGCGTTAAATGATCAACTGTATTTTGTAGAATAGAATGTCCTAAATTTGAAGTTTTTTCTTGTGATTTTTCATTAAATTTGAACTCTTTAACAGTTGAGATATCTGTTTGACATTCTTGAGTTTTCGAATTTGAAATATACAACTCTGTTTCATCTTTAATGAAAGCATGTATGCGAGGAGTATTTTGTAAATAATTTGTAAAATCAGAAAATTTGTCTAAATGCAATATTTGTGACGTAGCACTCATAGTTTGCAAGTTTCTTGACTTCTTTAATAACGTAATTTGTTCAGCAGTTCCAAGAGCTACCAGTGCAAACAACTGACCAGAAGATTGACCAGTTACAGGATCTATAATTGGTACCCAGCCATCCACACTCACCACAGGATACTAAAATGATAATTTATGTAAAGAACGAAATAATTAAGTTATACTAATTTAAAATGACATACCTTAGATAATAATAAATATGGTAATACTCGTGGATCTCTGTATGCAACATATAACTGATGTACAGATAATTTTGTTAATCCTAATAGATTATCTATATTATTATTTCTTGAATAAACTTCAATGATTATGTAATTGTCTTTAATGCGTTTTAATAAATCACTGTCATAAATAAGGGGTACTAACTGAAATGTAAAATTTATATGTATACATACACACACACATATATACATGAGAGATATAAGTACTGAATACACAGAAATATTTACTTGACAAAATTGGTAAAATGGATTTTTTGTATTGTTACAGACTTGACTTTTAGTCTTATCCTCTCTCCAAAATGCTCTGCATATTAAATAAGTATTTAATTCTGATAGTTCTTTCCCTTCCACTACATATATTAAACCGTGAAGTAAAACCTACACAGTAATCATTTCATCACTAAAAATAATTATTTGATACACATTTTTAGTATAATTCATATTTTTATACCTTATCTTGTATTCTATTTTTGTCATGTTTTATATCCGTTTTTTTATCATCTATGCTTTCTGTTGTGGATTGTGATACACACTTTGTAATAACTGAATTACTATCAGTAATTGGAAAATTTACTATTCCATCCGAAATTGTTAGTACTTCATTATCTGTTGTAGACTGATTTTTTGTAATATTCTTGCTCCCTTTATTTTTAGCTTCACTAAGTGATTCTGATGTATCCAAAATAGGAATGTTTTCTTTAACAGACATACTATCTAAAAAAATATAGTATATTTAAATCTTCGATATAAACATTCGTTTTCTACTTTATATATACTTACTAATGTACTGTCTTTCATAATGATTAGAATCTGAACCTAATTCTATAATTACATTTAATTCTCCTGTTTTTATTTCTTTATTAAGTATATTTAGATGTTGTGCGAATTTCCAACTTTTATTTTTTATAATTTCATTAAGATTAATAGTAGCATTGCCTAATTCAATTAATGATCTTTTATTGACATGACGAACAAATATCTTAAATTTTATTTGCAATACTGTATAGTATTTTAGTTTTGATATTCTATATACACTGTTGTGATTAAAATAAACCACTGTAAAAATATATTAATTAATTTTAAACATACATATATAGTAAAATATATTATAAATATTCCATATGTTAATACTATCAATGTACCGTGATTTGCTTGTTTTTTAGAACATATTCTTACAGGTTTACTTTCCTTTTTGTCATTTTCTTTCATATGATCGAATATCATATCATACTGAACAAAATATGTTGCAGATGAAAAAATGTTATCATTATCTGTAAAAAAAATATGTATTTAGTTCATAAAAAGATGTTAAATATTTATGAATTCTATAAATTTACATACGTGATAATGAAGATGATTTTACACGTCTATAACCAGCAGGACTTAAAGTAAACGAGTCTACATTAATTCGGATATAAGTAGCAAAATCAAATAGTTCAGCATCTAGAATAGAACATAATTTTCATTAGTACAGTAAAATTTAAGAGACTAATATTTTTATTAAAAGCTTAATAAACCTTTTGAATCAATACACAATCTTTTTTCTGAAAGTGCATCTTCTATTAAGGAATTCATTTTTGAAGAAGATGTATTATTTGTTGTACTCTTATTATCATATCTAAATGTTTTTAAACTACTAGATGCAAGATCTGTCAAACTTGGATGTAAAGTTGTTGATTTCAATGCACATGTTTTACACTCAATAGATGACATCATATCTTTGCACAAAACACATTCATATAATTTTTCTTTATTTTTAGCAGAAACACGAGTTTGAAATCCATTATTTATGGAATTATCACTAAAACTACATTCATCTTCATCATATGTTTCTTTAAATAAATCTCCTCTGAGCCTTTGAGCTCTTGTAACAATCTGAGCAACGAGTCTATCTGCTACTTCATTACTAAGTTTATTTACTGATTCTTGAAATTCTGTCCTTTTCAATTTTAAAATAGATTTGTAAGTATCATTTTCTTCGGGTTTTATTTTTTTGTTAACTGTACACCTATCAGATATCAAATAATCCTGATTCTTAAAATTATTACTAGTTGAAACTAAGGTATTATCAGTACCTTGCTCTTTTCCACATTTATGTGTTTTTAATTGCATACTAAAAGCTTTTGTCATATATTCTAACTTCATAGAAACATGAATTTCTCCTATTTTATTTTCATGATTACTTACAATAGGTACATATCTAAAATATGGTTTACAATCAAGGATCTCTAATAAATCTGTGATTTGTGATGTTCCAATAATTATATTAGTTTCTTTACTAACAACCAGTAATTCTACAGATTCACAATTCTTAATGTATTCTTCAAAGAGATTTATATTTGTACGAATAGCATAAACCTCAGTTGTTTCTTCCTCTGATCTTATAATATCTTTTGTAATATCTGCTGGTCTGTAAAAAAATGTATATTTTAAAATATATGCAATAAGATATAAAACTAAAGAGAAATAAATTATTTAATCAACAATATAAGAAAAGAAGCAGATAATTCATATAAAATAAAAAGTGACAGGTACTTTAATTTAGATTAAACATCATTAAAAATCACTTTCTATTCTTTAAATTATTGATATTAAAACTTTAGAGAGTAGAATAGAAATTATTTTATGAGTACAGTTTACCTAAATTCAGTTCTATCAGTTTCTCCCCACCAAGATAAAAATATTCTAATTTCACCAAAATTTTTCTTTGACCAAATAACTTCATCAATGACAAATTTTAAATAACCATGAATTTTGCCTTCAACTAACGGAGGCAAAGATTTTTTAAATTTCATCTTCGTATCCATTTATTTTCCGTAATATAATACATTGTTGATTTTGTACATTCATTTACATTTATCATCAGTCTAGGTTATTAATAGTAAAAAGTGTAAAAGTATCGCTCTAGATAAATTTTGTATTTTTGTACTTTTTTGCTATAGATATTTTATATATTAAAAACTGACACTTTTATTTTATGTCTTTAATTATCGAGTGCAAAACTAATATACAAAATAATTTGTTCTGTTCACTCTTTAAGTGATATATAAAAACAAAGGCAGAATATTTGCTGCCATCTATTCAAAGACTACATAACTTGCTACTACGAATAACTTCACTTACATGTTTAACATTTAGATAAAATACATAAATAGGTATTTGAATTTAAATAATCAATTGTACAAAAAATTGATAATTTAAAGTGAAAAAAATAAATAAATAATTTCTTTCTAATCAATGATGATACGTAAACATAACCTTTAAATTTATTATATATGCTTTAAATTCATTGAGTAAAGGGTCGATAATATGGCTATTTTTCAGACATTTGGAAAATATGTAAAGTATTACAAACCATTTAATACAAGAATGTTACTAAATTATCGAAACCGTTTTTTGTTTTATTCGTCGTATAATTTTTCAACCTTGAATGACAAAAAGTCACAAAGCCTTTATCACTATTTATACTCGAAAATTTTAGCCTGTGGACCTATTACAATTCATGATTACATGAAAGAAATTTTAACTCATCCAACTGTAGGATACTATATGAATAAAGATGTTTTTGGAAAACAGGGCGATTTTATAACATCACCAGAAATTACACAATTATTTGGAGAAGTATGTAAGTCATCTTCTCGAAAAACTTTTGTTTGGATTAAATTGTTATAATATGTAGCATATATAATATATATTTATTTATGTTTTAATCATTTATTTTTTAGATGATAGCCATTTGGATGAAATATGAATCGCACAAGATTTCTAAGGGTCCTTTTCAAATAGTTGAATTAGGTCCAGGTAGAGGAACTTTAATTAAAGATATATTAAGGGTATGTCTTTAATATTCAAAGTGCAAAATTATACAGTTATTTTATAAATATATCTCTATTGTACAGGTGTATAAACAATTTAAATCTCTAGATAATATATCAGTACATTTAGTTGAAGTTAGTCCTACTTTGTCTTTGATTCAGGCAAAGAATTTATGTAAAACGATTACAGAATATGATACAAAAATTAATGAATCTAAAAGTAACCCTATCAATTACTATAGAGAAGGTATTACAGAAGATGAAATAAAAGTATATTGGTACGATTCCATTAAGGATGTGCCTAAAAATTTTAGTATATTTTTAGCACATGAATTTTTTGATGCATTACCAATTCATAAATTTCAGGTATATTAACTATACCTAATATGTACAATTTATATATAATACTTTATATACATGTAATAATTTTACATTTAGAAAACTGATAGAGGCTGGTGTGAAGTTTTAGTAGACATAATTCAAGGAAGTAATGAAGAGAAATTTTGTTATGTGTTATCAAATGCTCCAACACCTGCTACCTTTTATATATCAGTAATACTACTTGTATTTTATTCTAAAATAAGATAAAATACAAAATTACAGATTAAATATATTTTGTGAATATCTTTCAGAATGATGAAAAAAGAGAACATGTTGAAATTAGTCCAGAAAGTTTAATAATAGTGGATTACATAGCAAACTTTTTATGGGAATGTGGTGGATTTGCTTTAATTTGTGATTATGGCCATAATGGTGATAAAACTGATACTTTTCGTGGATTTTCTCAACATAAAATACATGATCCACTATTACACCCAGGAGCTGCAGATTTAACAGCAGATGTTGATTTTGCAGCTATTAAAAAAATTGCAGAGAAAGATGATAGGTTAATAACTTTTGGACCAGTAACTCAATCAAGCTTTCTACAAAACCTTGGAATTGATTTAAGATTGCAAATGCTCTTACAAAATGCTTCAGAAGAAAGAAAGAAATCATTACGAACAGGATATCATATGATAATGGATGAAGATAAAATGGGAACACGTTTTAAAGTTTTATCACTATTTCCGTCTATTTTAAAAGAATATTTCGAAAAAGTACCAGTAACAGGTTTTTATTAAACATGAAGATTGCAATAAACTTTATTCATCTATACTAAAATTTTTGTAAAAAAAATTATGTATTGCAATAATTTATTAGCAATTATTTGCAAAAATTACATTTATAAATAAGGATTCATGCCTAATTATGATTTTTAATTTCAGATTCATACTTTTTCCATATCTCTGAAAATTTTAATACTTTCTCACGTTGTTGATCAAAATGTTCTTTTTTTGGTTTTCTCCATATGTCCCGATTTAGATCCAACATCCCACCTATAATTTCCTGCAGTAAATAGAATATTTGAAATTAACATTTTTGCGAAATAACCATTCATTCATACTTTTCTTAAAAGAAAATTACCTGTGCAAAATTTGTCGGAAACATATGCTCGTCCTCAATAACATGAGCATATCCTTTATTTCTTTCAAATTCTACCATAAAATATGATAGACCATTTGGAATAGCTTTACGCACATCTTTATTTTCAAAATTGATTACTTTTTTATTCATTGACCATTCAGTTTCACATTCTAATAAGGCTTTCTGCCAAAAACATCAAATATAAAGCTTGATACTATTCAAATGTATTAAATTGTCTATGTATATATTTACCTTAAAGTATATTGGAGCTAATTCACCGATTCTTTTCTTCAGTGGAACACATTCCAATTGCATATGTGAAAATTTGTGACGAGTCTTGTAAATTTCATAGAACACTGGATACAACTTTTGATCCATGAACATTTTATATAAAGCTTCTTTAAACATCTGAAAATAAAATACTTGTAAGGAAAAAAGGCATATTATTAAACAATAATATCCAGAAAATATGTTTTACCTTCAGCTTTTCCCAAATATTTTCATCTAATTGTAATTGACAAGCAATATGGTGTACAGGTGTTATTATACAATGCCCGGAAGTCAAAGAGGTATAGTGAGGTAGACTTAAACAAATATCAGAATCCATTGTAATGATCATGTGTTTTAACATGTATTTTGAATCAATACACCAATAACAATTATCCAAACTTTTTGATAAACGTTTATGTTCCTTAATTGCACGTGAACGATCTTTCTCATTTTGTTCAGCATCTGATTTAATATGTGTAATCTGTTCCTCAAACATCTCATCCATATCTCCATTCTATAAGTTATTTTACACATCATGTATTCCATAATATCTTTTAAAATAGATTTTGTATGACATACCTTAGAAGCAATCTTAACAAATGCTGCATCATCTTCATTTGTAGATCTTCCTTTTTCTTTATGGAACTTGAACACATTGATGATGTTATTGAGATTTAATATTATTGACTATAAAAGTTATATTTTAGTAAACATACCAAATTTTCCAATGAATATTTATCATCGTCGAAGTAATGTCTCACTTTCTTGCCAGAAACATGTGTTTCTGCATTTTTCCGTTTACTATTTTGTGAAGATTTTATAGTTTGAACTCTGGATTCCAATGGTCTTGTAATACCTATTATATGTTATTCGTTATTTATTTCAAATGTACAATTTTATACACATAATACATACCTTTTGAATCAGTTTGTGTAAGAATTACATTTTGGACTTCTTCTGTACTGCATATTTGAACATTTTTTGCGATATCTCTAGCATTTTTTAACTGAATTTTTAGTTCATCAGCAAGTTTCTAAAAAAATATTATGAATTTTTGCAATTTCTTGGCACATTTCGTGTATGTAGCGTAAAACGTTAATAAGTATACATACAGTATTGCCCATTATTTCAGCTTTAACAATTTTTGCCCCTAGCTTATTCATTTCTGCTTCTGTCAGAGGTTTAGTTTCTCCAGATTCTGTATTATTTCCATCACTACCAGAAATTCGTTTTGCACGACGGCCGACATGAGTATGTGACGAACTCAACATGTTAAAGCTTCAAAAACGTTTATTTCAAGTATGTGTCATCACAACTAACCTTAATATTTGTTGTGCAGAATTGATAGTTTACAGATCAGCATGCCATAAGGCACGACTGACTCTATGTATACCGTATATCGTATTGTTAAGTTGAGTAAAAGCTAGAGGCAGTGAGTTTCCTCTCTGGTAGAAGTAAACAAAACTAATCACATTGTACACAGCAGTTTCAGCTATTGGTTGATAGTCGCTAATGAATTATGATTTTTACGAACGTTTTGGATATAAATTTGCATGATACATCTGGTCTTTTCGCTTAAGAGGTTAATGTACGAAAAAAGGATAGGAAAAAAAGGAAAGTTGTGAATCAACTAAGAATTTAATCACGTAGTTTTATTTATTTTTCCAGACTCGACTCATTGGATCACGAACTTATGACGTCCATACGCTGCACAAAATATAGATGTCGTCTTTATTTCGTGATTGGGTGATTTCAAATTTCGCTCCTAATTTACACATCGATATTGTTAAACATAAAGCCAAATTCATGTGAGAGCATTACAGTACTATATTGTACATAATTTAACCAATCAATAGCGACTACGTAGTTACCGCGTAGATTTTGCCGCGCAAACGTTACAGTTGTTGCTTAAAAACAATTAATTGAATATATTGGTTATTTTGACATTGTAAGTTGAGTACTATTTATTGTTAGTTCAGTTATTCTTCCTGTTTTGACATTGACGTGTTAGAACGTAAAATACTTTATGTTAAAGGTTCTATAGAAAAAGTTATTAATACTTTATGATTTTTTGATACTAATCTATTAACAATTATTTACAATTATTAATGTTTTATCTTCTACATATACTTAATAATGTCGTTAAATGTTTGATAATATCGAAACATAACAAATTATAAGTAAGGAGGTTTTAAACGAAAACAATTATTTAAACAAACTTTCATGTAATTAAATCAGCTGCCACCAAACCTTGTTATCAAATAAAGTAAATTTTAAATTTATTTGTTATAAAGAAATAATGTTCTCTAATTTCTATTATTTTTGTATTTTCTACTCTGATTCAATTTATATGTATATACAAAAATTTTCATTTTAGATAAATTTATAAATAATGATTGAATCTGACCAAAGTGACAAAGAAACACAGGATGAAATACCATCTTCAAAAATTTCTGATAATCCTGTAGATACAACTGAACTTAGGCAGAAAAGGTTACGCGAAGAAACCTCAGAGGAGGAAAAATTAGATTTACCTTCTAAGAAATTATGTACATCTATTGATGAAAAAATATCTGAAAATATTTCAGAAGCAAATGGTACTGCTGAAGAAGTAAAAGAAAATTCAAAGAATATAAATATTGATGATAAGAAGGACAAAATTAACTTAGTTTCGGATGAAAATAAAAATGAATCTGCAAAAGAATCACATGTTGGAGTATCTGATATTAAAAATAATGAAATATCAATTACTAATGATATTGCAAATAAAAAAGAAAATGAGTCTAATATTTTAACAGATATAAAGCAACAGGTAATGCATAAATTACGTATTTAAATTTTAGTCTACAAGCAATGCTAAACGATATACATATTAATATTCAAAATATTACATTTTTTAATAATTTGCATTTACTTTTTTGGGACAGGGAAACATACACTTAGAAACTATATCAAATTTTAATACAAATAATGCAATAATAGAAGAAAAGACAGAAGTGGAAGAAGAAAATAATGTTAAATCAAAAAAGAAAAATAAAAGATTCCAAATTGAAGATGCTGAAGTAGTGGAAGGTTTGGAACTTTCTGTAGAGTGTGCTAGTGATAAAGAATCTTCAAGTTCTTCTGAAAGTGAAAGTGGAAAAGATAAACAACTTAAGCCAAAAACCATAATTGTAAAAGCAAAACCTAATGATTCAGAACTTGATGTTAGTTCTTCTGAAGCAGATAAATCAGATTCACAAGAGACATTTGAAATTAAACCTAAACAAACTGGAAAGAAAGAGAAAAAAAGAGGTAGGACTTCTTTCAGCAAAACAAAAAATACTGACTCTGAAGAAAATAATGATGATATTTCCGATGAAGATTATAGTCCAAAAACTAAGAAGAAACTCAAGAAAGCAGGAGCAAATAAAAAATTTACAAAATCAGCCACAGAATCAAAAAAGGGGGGAGGTAGAGCAAGAAAGAAAGTTAAGAAACCCGTTGAAGATATGGATGGTGAAGATGAAAATTCTAATATAACAGAGGATCTAAAGTCAGAAGAGAATACATTTGATAGAAAATCTGTGAAAAGCAAAAGTGAAAATGAAAGTGACAGTGAAGATGATTCTCAAAATGAAAAAAGTAAAACCAAAGTAAGTTTAATAATATTTCTGCATCATATTTTATGTTTCCAAAATTATGTTTTTATGTTCTTCTAGAAACCTGAAGATAACAGAAGAATACAATTGTTAAAAAAATATATTAGACTTGCTGGAATACATGTAAAATCTTATAATGATCTTTGGACTAATTGTAAATCAAATACTGCTAAAGTAAGATGTCTTAGAGAGTTATTAGCAAAAAATGGAATTAATGGCAGACCAACCGTAGAAAAATGTAAAAAAGCCAAAGAAAAAAATGAAAGCCTTAAGGATGTTGCTGAGTTAAATACTAGCAATATTATTTCAGAAGGTTTGTTACATTATAAAACCTATAAGAAATAAATATCTTAATAATAAAAAATTTCAGGACGTGTTACACGTGCTCAGAGAAATAAGGAATCAACAAAAACACCAGAAACGCCTACAAAACATCGTGAAGCACGCAGTTCATTTAAAAGAGTTTTAACCGTTGTTGACAGTGATTCAGAATGAAGTATTATGAACTTTTAACCCTTTAACCTACGACGTCGAGTTACTCGTGGTACGTCCTTCGTGCTACATGTGACAAACATTTCTTTTTCTTGGCCGCATTCAGACGTGTAGGTATATTTTTTTGAAAAATATTAGAAAGATATCCTTAAAAATCGTGTCCACGATCAATTGGTAGTAATAATTTATCAAATATCTTGTAACATAAACTTCGAACGCTCGGACAGATCGTGAAAGGGCTCGACGTCTGACCGACCCTGCCGATGGTTACAGTACGCATTGTTGGAACTTAAATTGTAGGGCAAAGGGTTAAAGAAATTTGTAAAACATCAATATTATTTGTTTACTTACCTTCTGTGGTAAGTATATATGTCATATTTATTTTCTTAAAAAGAAAAATTGTGCACACAGATACATATTATGTATTCAGAAAAAACTGGTAATCAATGAATTTGATATCAAAAGATATATTGAGATTACGAGATTGAGATATTGCAGTAAAAAAACACATAAAAGTTATTATAAAAATTATTTATTATGATGTAAAAGATTTTATAACAGATCTGCCTTTAAACTTAGAATATAAAAGATTTGTATATCTCAAATTGATTTATGTCTTTTGGATATGTTTAATTAATTTTCGATGAATTAAAATTAATTTTTTCATGAAATTGTACAAAATAAGAAATCAAAATAATAGAATAGCATTCCTTGTTATTTCGGAGTTTATAAAAACATTTAGAGCTTTTAATAAATATATTGCTTGTAGAGCTCTAGTTATATATAGAAATTAATTAATATTTCTGGATTAAACTTTATATAAAATATAATACAATTTGCGTAATTTTATATATAATTTATATTTGCTTAAAATTCTCTTAAAGATTGGTAAGTCATAATTTGATAGAATACTATAAGATATTTCTGAATGCATATATCTTTCTTCTGAAAACAGTTAAAATTATACTCATTTTATTAATTCATTCGCAAAAGTTATTATAGAGCTTCAGTAATAAAATATTCTAACATAAAAGTAATGACTAAAATAAGATAAAGGTCAAATTGTTTCATATATTATCTTTTATAATAAATTGTATAATGACTTAAAATGTAATATAAATGTACGTATATAACGAATATTTGTTGAAAAAATGATTTAGATACGTAGTAAAAATATATATTTTTATACACATGATTGTGTAAAATGTCTGTTTTTCAATATGATGTACATTTCATGCTGATAAATATGTACAACAAATTAAAGCTACATAATGCACTGTATTTTATAACAAATAACACATAATATTAAAAAAAGATGCTAGATTATTAAAAATAGTATAATATAAAGAAATATTTCCTGATTAGTTATTTAATTTCTGGATGCAAAAAGTTTGAAATACATTCCTTACTACAAAATATCTTTTTCTCTTTAACTGCGAATCTGCCATTTAACAAATTTTTATTACAAATATAACAACGGAAACATGCCTCTGTTGCGTGAAAATTTAAATCTTTAACAGCAACACCTTGTTGATCTGCTGCAATTACTTTCTCACACATGTTACACGTTTTTGCATATGTTTTTTGATAACACAAGAGACATAATGGACGATCATTTTCTGTGATGTACTGTTTCCCAGCCAATGGAACATCACAATCCCAACAGCAAAAATGTTTTACGTGATAATTATGTCCTTCTGCGACAGTATACTCTCGCACAAAAATAAGCTGAAAAATATAAGATAATATAAAATTTATTATTATGAAGTAGAGATGAAATTTTTTGGAAACCTTTTTAAGTATATTGTACATACCTCATCACAAGCAAAACATCTAGGAATTCCTAAAAGTGTTGCTAAATCTCTACCACAGTATAATTTGTTTTTATAATAAAAGTATACCAAATCTACTAATAATTCATTACACATACTACACATGAAACACCCTGGATGCCATACTGCATTTTTAGCTTTGTCCGTAATTACTGCAACATCACCAACATGGAATCCTTCTTCACATTTATGGCACTTTTGTGATTTAGAATCTATTGTTAATTCCTCCATGACACTCTTAAGATGTGTTATATTTGGAACATGGTGTTCCAATGGTTTTGCTGTAGAATTAGTTTCATAAGGAAAAATCTGGTTTTCCAATTTCTCGGAATGAAGGGTGGTGGATGGTGTTGTAAAACTATTTACTGTTGCTTGATAATTATTAATATCGAAGATTTGTGGATATATTTGTGATGATGACGCTGGTGAAGGAAATGAATTTTCCACTACTTTTGAAGGAGTTTGTGATTTACATTCTGTTAGATTTTCTATGTTGAAACCTGTAGAATACAAAGGATCAGATTTAACTAAGTTTGAATTGGTTTTCATTATTTCCATTTCTGTCTTTATTGGCCCAGAATTATGAATATCCTTTTTTATTTTTTGTAGTTCATCCTTTGATGGAATTAACATTCCAGGATATTTTACACTACTAATAGTAACTGTTTTATCAGCTCCTTTATTTGTGTTTGCGGGAATATTTTCATTTTGTAATCCAAAAGCAGTGTTTTTACATAGTGAGTTGTTTGAATCTGAACTTCTTGCAAAATTGGGAATATTGGATAGTACCTGCCCTTGATTTTCTTGATTACTATACTTATTTGTGAGCTTTTCGCGTATATACATTAGACCCTTTTCGTCTAGTGTACTTCTAACTATATCATTTGCATGTACTGTACTAGGTGGTAGCAAAGCATCTGCTAATAGAGCTTCTACAATACCAACATTATCATTTATTGGTTTTGAATGTATCAGAGAGGTGGATGGATTTTTTAGTACATCTTTGTATACTTCTTTGTGATATCCTGATGGAGTACAAAGTGATGTCACTTCAGAACTAACATTTGTGACTGCTGCATCATTTAAATACTTCAAGTTTTCAGTTGTTGGCACATCTTTTGCAATATCTTGACTATTACTTTTATTAATTTCACCATCTTTATTGATTATATTATATTTTTCAAGAATTGGAATATTCTTAATATTACTACTGTTACTTGTATCTAAAGGAGTAGGAAAATTATGTACATTTAAATTTTCATATAAATTCTTCTTAGGTGAACTTTTTGGAGCAAAACTGCTTGGTGTACGTAATTGAACAAAGCTTGGTGGCACATTAAGTTTATTTTGTGGACTATGATGTTGCAGGTCTGTTGCATTTACAGGTGTTATTAATGATCCATCAAATGGACGAGCACTTAATATCTATAGTAAATAATATATATATAATATATTAATAAATAAATATATATATTATTGATTTAATTTATATGTACTCAAATTTAATTGGTGATTAAATTTCTAATGTATAATAATATCTTACCTTTGTCACTGTTCCTTGTCCCACATATTTTTTTATATTTTCTAAATACCTCTCAAATTGTTTTTTCTCTTGTTCACTTAACTTATCACAAGTTTTATAATCTATGTCATGAAGAGGTAACTGTTTTTGTAATAATTGTCTCCTCAGAGCTGCACCAGGTGATCCCTTAATGGGTAATTTTTCCATAGGTAAGGCTTTCATATAGTCTATAGCAAGTTCTTTTGTTGTATCCGGTGGAACCCATTCAAATGCTTCTTCTGCATGTTCTTTTCCACTGTTTATATGTAATACTAAAAAATTTAATAAAAAGGTATTATATTGTATATATATATTGTGTATATTATTTTAATTTAGTGGTATTTACATATGGATTTTTTCTTATATTTTCTTGAGTTCCCAAACAACAAATCAAATTGAGGAAAATCGTCATCATCAACATCATGATCATCTTTACTGCATTTACAATTTTTACAAATTTTTCTCCAAAAATGTAAATCCAAACCTGGACATGCAGCTTTACAAAGAACACAAGGTGCTCCTGCCCCAGCCTCATGTGCCAATCGAGGCTGAATAAAATGATTACAATGATATAGAAATTTCAAAAGCAATTAATTTTATTAATAATCTCTAGAGGATTAAAAATTATAGGTATTTATAACTGATAAATTCAAATAAAATTTTCTACGGTTGTATACTATTTTTAGTTTACTAAATGTATTTAATGATTAAAATGTTTTGAATTATATATAAATAATAATAAATAATTATATATAAAGAATAATAAATAGTAAATGTAAATAGATATCATATTACAAAGGAAAAGCGAAAAAATATATCTCTAAGTATACTCTAAAATCGCTTCTTTAAATTCTCACTTTTCTTTTCCGATTTTCCAATTCTAGCAACCATTTCGGACGATCATTTACATCTGTATTATTCATTTCTAATCAATTTCTTATTTTTTATTATAAAAATTGAAATTATATTTGTTACACCCAGTTGACACTTGCACAAACGTGTGACTCATCACTATGCCACATTAAAGCAGTGCTTATGTCCCCCCTTCTACTATACTCGATAAGTGGGGCCCACTCACATAATGAAATCTTCCTTCAAAAAGATTTCACATATACATACACTATATATCATACATTTTCACAATACTCAGAATACTTCACATATTCAATTCAGAGTTCAGTGTTATCTTATTATGTAGGAAAAGATATATATTAATATTTTTTATTTATCTAACATGTGTAATATGGTATAAATTATTTTCTTCATTTTTATAAAAAATTTTTATTGTAAAGAAAATTAAAATATACTTATTTTAACAGAGAAGATTTGTTATAATTTGAGTAGTACTATCAATAAATAAACTATACATGAAAATAATACAAATGTTTGAAGAATTCTATAATATATACATGCTTCTTTATCTGTATACTGAATATATACAAAAAAGGCTCATTTGAATATAACTTCAGCATGTATTGTTTACCTTCTGCTATATCCATTAAATTTTTCAATCAGTTCCAAAAGCGGTATCAAATTCTTCTTGTGAAATCTGAAATAATTACTCTTCTTTAAAAATATATATATGAGGGTTTATTTTTTAAGGAAATTTTCATTTCAAAAATTATATTAAACGCACCTTTTTCTTTTTTAACTTTTTAATTAATGCTATGTCTTTTGCTAAATCTTTGATATCTTGTTCATTCATCTTTTTTTTTCGCTTTTTTGTTGAGTTTTCTGACATCTTCTGCTTCAGTTTTTTCTCTTTCCTTTTTTTACGGTTTTCTTGCTTTTCCATTTTCTTTTTTTTATTTTCAGACCATGGTTCAGTTTGTTTACATTTACGTTTCTGTGCCTTAGGCCATACTCCGGTGTCTCGAAAAATCTTTAATTTTTCTAAACGACTTTTTTCTTTTTGTTTATCTGAATATGTAATTGAATTGATATCAGTATCTTCTTCTTGAAAATTTGACATATCTTTTCCTTTAAGTTCTGGCATACGAGGCATT